ACAGCCCTCCACAGGAGTACGGTAAGAATGAGGAGAAAAGGACGGCTCCTTTCATACGCATGGCCTGTCCATCCAAACACAGACAGCTGCTCTCCCAGTCATTGTGTTTCACAGGCAGTTAAAGTTGGACATGGTGGCAAAACCACCTCCCTCTTCTGCTCAAGATCCACTAGTAATTTCAGTAACAAAAACTAAATGAAGAATCTTTTCTGCCATTTGGAAAATGAAGAGAAAGATTTTTAATTTTTGTGTACTGATTTATGCTAAAACACTGACACTTAGATCATTATAATTCCATTTCTCATGTTCGGAGTACCCTGGGGTGTATGCTCATGATTTCCCCAGCCTCCTCTGAGAGTATATTTCCTACTTCCCTGTTGCACATACATAACCAGACTCTTTTCTGGAGTCCTATCACCCTCACTCTGTTTCTCTGAGCTTCCTGGCCTCGTGTAATGACTCATGTTTTACCTTCTTCAATGGCTCACTGGCAAAATGCAACCCAACAAATCCTCCTCCTTCCCTTTCATGACTCTGCAGAAGCTCCGGATCCTTCCTACCTCTCTTACCTCCTTAATAGTCAGTCAACTTTTTGTCTCTTTCACACTACTCACATGAAACATGCACCACTATCTTTTGGGCTAAAAGGTCCAATACCTTGAACCAAATGTTAAAAAAGCTGTATGAAGTAAATACACCACTTATCCACACTCTCTAAATAATACATGTTCAAATTCCATATATAGTTTCCTTTCTTTTTCCTTGTCTTTCTCACAGACTATCTCTAGACTTCCCTCCCTCACATAAAATGATAGCCACACCTCAAAACCACAGCAACCAAAACCCTTCCTATACTGATTTGCAGACAATAAAACTGCCACGTGGTACCACCACCAACAACAAAATACCCCAAACCCATCATTAAAAGGAATGTTGTTAAGGAATAGCTGTTTTATTTAACAGCTATTCATTTTTATTGAATAAACATTTCCTTGTATGCATTCTGTTAATTGACCTGACAGCATATGCTGTATATGCAGAAACTTCTAAACATTATGCTCTATGTAATATGCTTATCTGAAAAAGCTCTCATTTGCAGCAATATGGAAATAAAATTCTGCTTTCTAAAATTCAAGACTTTTAAAACGCATTAATCCACACAGCTTATGAAATTGCTTTGGACATTTTAAAATCCTTTCTTTAAGAAAAAGGGCTTTAGTAATTGGTAATAGTATTTGTTGCTGAGTTTCATAATGGAGTACTGCATATCCAGTACAGAACTTCCACAGACCTAGAAATGGGGCAGGCATAATAGGAAATAAAAAGCAGTTATGGTATCGAGTAAAGAATTACTCAAGGGCTAAAAGAAAATGTTTGGAAACTCTATCAGATTATATTATTAGAAAACTACTGTTATAATAGTTTCATGGCCTAGATGTAAGTTCAGTTGAAACATTACAGAGATAATATGTTTAGTTTGAGGACGGAAGACAGTTTGTGAGTGTGTTGGTGGGCTCCTCCATCGAATGGCAGGCACCTCTCCTTGGCTGGCAGCCTTTGAGTGATGATGGCATCTTCCAGACCAGCACCACCAACTCCACTGCCTGAAGGGCACACGTGAACAGGCTATGGGGTAGGAACGGGGCCTGTTGGGCAGCCGCAGGCTCCCTGAATGAAGGAGCAATTCACCTCCCCGCGCTTGTTGCCCTTGGAGGAACACTGGCACAGGGCTTTTCAAGAGAATATGGAAAAGCCAGACTTCCCCCATTTTCTAGGTTATCAACTGTAATTTTCTTTAAACAATTCTTTTTGGGCACAATTTCGTCAACCTATAGCCCAAACCCAGCAGAGAAGTCACTCACTCCACAGCGAACCTCGGGCAAGCTGCTTTCCATTAGGAAAGGGCACTTGCTATCATCTCTAATTATCTTTGGTAATATGGATCAAACATAGAAAGGCTTGAATTTATTTATTTTTAATCCTGGCACTAGGTAAGAATTCTCCCTATATCATCAATGATTGTACTGGTACAACTGGAAAATCTTCCAACATTCCGTTTCACAGACAGCATAATTATCTCATTTTTATACCAAGCCCTTTTAAGCCAGGTCTTTTTGTTCCACGAACTTCTAACATATTTTACAGTTCTAATTCTCTTCCACTGTCCGACATTAATCAAAGCTATAACCCTGTTGTCTTTGTACCACAGAATCAGAATGTGCCCCTGGCGAGGAATGGGGGAAAAGTCAACAGGAATTAAATTTCAGTGCAACTGTTTACTCAACTGTGGCCTGCAGTTATTGAAATTTTATCCGTGGTTTTGTGTGACTACCGCAGTAATGAATTCAGCATGGCTGTGACTTTCTCACTGCTGGTATTCTCACTTCAAGTAAAAACCTGTAGAATAAAAATGACGAAAATGACCCAAGTCCATCATGTTGACACTCAGATTTTCCAAACTGTTTAATTGTTGCAGTTTTCAGTCTGGAAGAAAACTGATAACTCCAGTCCTGTGAAAGTTCCTCGGTCCTGTAGTTTTGTTCTTATTTCATGTACAGATTTTCTTTTCCCCCAACAACCTGTTAAAACCCTCATCATACACTTAGGGGAGTCAAACAGCTGTCTATTTTATTTTAAAAGACCAAAAGGCCTGCCAACCACAATATATGGGGTTTTAGCCACAATGAGAGGCTCAACTGCTTTCTTTCCTCCTAAAACATATCAATGGAAAACAGAAACAAATTCGTTATAAAAAACTTCAAAAAGGGTTTCGAAGTACAATCGAAAGGTATTGACCTTCATATCAATAGCCCATTAACAACGTATTTTCCAAAGTGGTCACAGTCAAAGAGGGGAGATGTGAATAATTTTGCTACATATGCTTTTTAAGGAAGATGTTGTCAAAATGCACTTTTATAACTTTCTTCTGAGGTCAATTTGTCACTGATGTTATGGGAGGTAGTTGTAGGGGGGAGAGAGAGAGCGAGAGAGAGATACATGTACAGTTTTGGGCTGGATTACAATTTTGAGGTAGTGAAGGGTTTTCACTTCTTCAAATACAATTTAGAAAAAGTTAATTGTCCTTTTATTTAATTAATGTACTGTAAATATAAACTGCTTGGGACTCATACCACATTGGTCAACAGCCCCACCTCAACCACCCCATTAAGAAACAGTTGATCTTGGCCTCTGCACGCTAAGGGCACAAAAAAATGGCACTCCAAAATACCAACCATTTGCTCTCAATAGAAACCATAAACATCTGTGAACAGCATGTCAAAAAACACACGTACAAATACACTGATGCCCCTTTACCACTTGCCAATAGGTTTTGGTAACAATCTCATGTGTTAGAATTAGGCCATTTACACTGACTTAAATGCACAATGTTACACTTAGCACACATCGTAAATTCCAGCCCAGAGCGCAGGCACAAATGGTGGGCTGCCAATGAAGAGAGATCAAATCACTTAAACAAAGTCCTCTGAATTAAGACCTTAGCTTGTCTCTTAGGTTCCTTTTCTTTCTCTCTGACAGGTTCTATTGTCTCATGTTGGTCCCACCAATTTCTCGGCCGAGTGGCTCAGTTGGTTAAGAGCTCGCTCAAGAGTTTGAGCTCTGAGCAACAGCGGTTCGAGTCCAGCCCGAGCTGAGCAGCTGCTGAGCTGCCAAGAGGTAGCAGGATGGCTCAGCAAAAAAAAAAAAAAAACAACTTCCAATTTCTAATAGACTAACAATCTACTGATTCCTTATATTGGGTTGTCGGAAAAGTCACGACGCATTTTTGCAATGGAAAACATAGAAAAAAATATGTCATGACTTTTCTGACAACCCAATATTTTAAAAACTTCTTAGGAAGGAGAAAATAAAATATTTCTTAGAGTCTGTCAAAGGCTATCTCCCTAATATACGAAGGGATTTCCTTTGCTTTTCTGATACGGATTCCAAGAAAAGGTTTAAGAGGTTTGCTGTTCTCTTCCCTCACTCCCTGACAATGTCTGTTTCATTCAGAAAGGCCCTAAGATGCATCATTCTTTTTTCACTTTTGTCCAAATGGCACCATAACTATGTGTTGGACAAACTAACCAAGGACTAATACGAAACAGAACTCATCCATTATTATTAACAAAAACTAATACTATATCCTGATTCCATGAGAGGTTGGAAAAACAATGCCTGTCTTCAGGAAAATGCTATTTACTTATTTAAATTTTCATCAATACTTAGTCTACCCAACACCATTTTCTGGGTCACCTTTACCATTTGGAACTATTTTACCTGTCACTCACAGGTACCCACTTACATGCACAAAAGAACATAACAGGAATGAGTGTGTCCCAATTTATGTGCACATGGGAAGCCACCAAGCAGAGCCAATGTGAAACATCACTAGGATTCCGCCACATCACAACAGCCATGTGTATACAAGAAATGAACGTAAGGAGCCCGTACCCTAACCTATTCCAGGGAGCAGGCAGCCGTTTCTCTCACCCATGCCTGTGTCACTGCTGTGTTGGCTGCTGTTTACCCAGTTCTGCCTGTATTTCTCCGTTTCTACTCTCCTTGCTCACTTACTCTTATACCCCTTATTTTTCTTTTATTTCTTATCCCTTATTTTGTTTTCTTCCTCATAAGGCTTCATAAGTCAGTTATCTATATTTTTTTAATTAAAGCATCATGTACCATTTCTCCATATGTTCATGTAATTCCAAATAGTTAAACTTTAGGCTGACACACTAGGGGCTGGAGGGAGTGGCCATGGTCAACTCAATCTCCTTCTCAACATCCACTACCCACAGGATGGGTTTCCAAGACTTCCAACTCCCGGGAGCTTCAGAATTAGTCTCTTAAGCCAACCACAGGGACCCTGGCACACTGGTCACTTGAAAGATGCTGCTTACAGTCAGGTAGAGAGTCAGGTAAGCACACAAAATTCACAATAGTTAAATGTCATATTATTGGCGCGGACCACGCTCCCCGCCTGGCCCAGCCCACAGTACCTGCTGCTGCTGCGCGTGGGCCAGGTCGGCTGCCCCCACGTCCACGGCCGGCGCCTCCCCGTTGGACCGCCCTTCCCGAAGACCGCCGCACTCTAGTAAGTGGTTGCCGCTGCTCGACCCATTCTGGATGGCTGAACCGTTACTTTTTGTCTCAGGCCCAGATTCTTGCATCATGACTCAAAAACCTGATAGAAGGATTTTTTAGGAGGGAGTGGGGCAGAAAGAAAAAAGGAAAAAAGCAGCTGTTAAAACAGTTGTTGTACATAAGGAGAAGGGCCCTGCTTTAAATATTGCCAAAAATCTGTAAACAGTTGTCATTTTCTTTCACTCAATTTATCCCTCATTCGTGGTCCAGTCCCATGATTCTTGAGTGTGGAACTGTCGGTCCAATTTCAAGTTTTAGTAGTAATATTTGAAATATGTTCTCTTTTTCCCCTTAGAAAAAATAAATATTTTCAGGTGAACCTGGGATTTATGGTTAAATTTCTGTGATCATATCTGGATATTTTGCTTGAAAACCATTAAGTCATTTTATACAGGATATTAGGTATAAGATTAAATTTTAGTGTGTGCAGCCCGTGTGGCAATGTTACACTCTTAAGGAAATACTCTCCAATTTAAGTCTATCAGGAGATGACACACATTACCAGAGGCCCCCTGAGGTAATTCGTGTTGAAAACGCTTATGGTCAGAAAACCAAAAAGTATTTTAAAGATTTGTACTCCTGGGAATCACTCAGGTACCAAAACTCTTCAAAATTGGCCATTACAATAATACAGGCCACTTTTAGGAGGGAAAAAAAAAATTTTTTTCGGACACTAAATAAATTCAGATTCTGATCTTTGTCATACAGTTAAAATTGTCCTGAGAAATCCCATTCAAGGTTACATGTTTCTCATGAGGGATTACTAGCCTCCAGGGTAAGGCCTGGAAGGTCTGGGCCTCCTGATATTTCTTTTGGAAAAAATCTTACCGAGGTATACCAAAGAAAAGGTCTGAATTTGCAAGTACCAAACATCTAATAATATCATATATATTGTACAAGATGAGTAGCTAGATAATATCACCTGCGTAAATACATTTCACATTCCACCTTGTCACTCTCTAGGTACAAAACCATTATCCCAGGGTGCCAATTCAGCTCTGGGTCAAGGTGTCCACTTAAGACAAAAGACAGATAATATTTGCGAATGTCAGTTGTTACCATCTATGTATCACCAGTGTCATACCAGGCCCTCCTGCATCTGACTTACAGATACTCTCCCATTTAGTTCTCATGACAATTGCTACCCCCAATTTGCAAATGAGAAAACTAGGCTCCAGGGGAGTTGCCTTAATTCGTCCAGGATGTATCACACACAGCTAGTAATGGTGGAGTCAGGACAGGAACAAGTTCAGTCTCAGGTCAGCGTTCTTAACCACGTGTTTTCTTAAAGTTGATGTGCAATGGGGGCTAAACAATGAAAGTGGCAGGTAAGGGTCATACTCCAAGTTCACAGAGTAGGACTTCAAACAGAAAAAACAATAGTCACACTAAAGAAGTTGACAATTCAAACATGAAAGCTGAGAAATGTCTTGAATAATTAAAACTTTAATGTGAAATACCAATCACAGATAAAAGGTCAGATAACATGGAAAGACATACATATAACCATTGCTACAGAATTCCCCCCACCCCCCACACACACACGAACTATGTGACAGCATGGAAATTTAACCACTGGACATTTTAGAGGAGGATGCCTTCTTGCTAGAAATTGGTTTATGTCTCTTTTCTATAGATGTGCACAAAAAGCAAGTGGCAGAAATAAAAGCAGAAAAACATTCACATCTTTCTTCATTTCCTTTCAGTGCACAGTCTGACCCAGCTTGAGAACAAACTTCATAAACCCAGAAGACATATTTTTTTAAGTTAATCCAATACTGAAGGGGATTAAGAATGGCATTTTTTTTAACAGGTGGGAAACAAACTCAGAAGCAACAGCTGATTCACTCTTGTCTCTTTAGATCAGACTTCCCAGTAATTATAGTCCTTTAACAATTATATTCATAGCTTTACCATCTGCAGAGCAAATAATCTATCAAAAAACAACTAAAACTTTCTCTAAGATATAAGAACCAGGCAAGGCAGGTAACTTGGTCATCACTAAAACAGGGAATCAATTTGTGAAATTTAGGTATTTCTTTTCCCAATGTTTCAGATTCTGTTCCACAAACTTGAACTTTGTATAGAAGCTAAAGGAAAGACGGTGTTTATGTTTTGAGGGAGGGAATGGTTGTTTTAGAGTAGTTAGCAAGGAAAGCCACAGACTTTTTCAGATATGTATCAAACATACCTAAAGAAACACAAACAAAAAAAATGCCGTATGTCCCCATGTATAAGACGCACCCTTTTCTGAAAAATTTGGGGTCTAAAAACTGGGTGCGTCTTATACAGTGAGTGGTTGTAGATTTTTTTACCTGCATTTCCCGCAAGTGATGAGGAGTTGTATGAATTTTATGATGAATAAAACTTGAGTTCAATAACTTTACATAATACATTTTTTTCAAAGTTCAGGCCCCAAAATTAAGGTGCGTCTTATACATGGCAGCATCTTAAACATGGGGAAATACGGTAGTTAATATGTGTATATTTTACTTTCTGGAAAGCTTATCCATATCAGCAACTGGATCCCCAAAAGACAAAAACATTGCCTCTACATAAAATCTGCACTTGCCCACAGCATGGGGTACATTTAGCCAAATATCCTGTCCTCCTGGACAGGCAGAGCTGCAGGAAGAGCGCTGCTTTCAAACCATGTGACCATGGCGACTCTAGACCCGAAAACAGGTGTCCTGAGAGACCAGCCCTGCTGCTGTTTTCTGGGTGTGATACCCCCACGTGGCATGGAGGGTGAGGAAGTACCATCTCCAGTCCACAACTCACTGAGAAGGCTTTGCTCCACGTAGCTCCAAAGGAGACTGCCAAGTCCTCGGGCACAAGCTTGCAGGCAGTGCGCCAAGCAGTTTGGCTCGTCAATCAGGTTTGCAAGAGTGTAGGCTCTGGGACCAAGCTGCATAAAGGATTATTTTGGTCTGAGGATGTCCTTAATTAGTCAAGTGCTAACAGTAGTATGTAGGTTGGAAGATTTAAAGTTTCCCATAGTCTCCCACACCAATCAGGAGGGAAAAGCTTTTTGAAAATCACATGTGAAAAATTAGGAGTCTCGATGTCTAAGAATATTTCTAGCATTATCTGGGTAGGCAATATTTCTTTCTATGGAATGTTCCAAGCCATTTAATAAGTCATTTAATAAACTACAAAGCCTCTGATATACTTTTCAAACTCATAACAAGTCAATGAGAGAAAAGGCAGGTGATGTGATCCCTAATTTACAGATAAGGCAACTACAACTTCGTGGTCTAAGGAACAGATGCAGCCACAATCATCCCCCATTTAAGATGTGAACTTGTCCATCCAATAAATGGCAGACAATTTCCAATTTGCAAAGTCCTGTGCAAGGTGGTGAATTAATAAACTAACAGAAAGGAAACTAAGTAATTCCAGAAAAGATGATAATGAGGGTGACAGGTAGACAAATAGAAGCACCTGAGATGCAAAGACGAAAGTGTCAGCATTCTTTAGTAAACAACTGTATATGCCTTTTCCTGTTGCGTTTTACAATGTTAGAGTGATCTGAAAGCAAGTCCACATGTACAAGAGGCATGTGTGTTCTCTAACCTAGATCACTGACCCTCTCTTCTTAGAGGGAGCTTGTCGCTGGCACTCAGTTTGTATAAACTCCCTTCCCTCTGGGACTCCCTACAGGCACTGAGCTGCTTTGCTCCATGACAAATTGAGAACAAGAAAGCGTGCACCACCATCATCCAGGAGCCCTGCATTGGTGTAAAGGCGTGGCACCTGGAGGCCATGGCCACCTCAGGCTCACTACCGTGTCCTTTTTCCAGAAGCAAAGCCAAACCTTCCTCTGCTTACTGGATGCTTCTCTGAGTGAGCGTGGCCAGTTCAAATCACATGTGATCTATGCAGTATAGGCGCTGTCCTGTATTTGTATTGAGTGGATTGATCGTATGTGATCACCCTACAAAGGATGATGCTACGTCACACAGAAGTCAGAAAGCTGTGGAAGCCAAGACGGCCCAATTCTCATCTTGCTTGGAAATACTACACAGCTTCTGATTTCAAAAGATCGATGTTTGTGCTGGAGGGATTTATAGAAACGGATAAGAGCTGAGTTGAGCATGCTTATTCATTGTCACTGCCCACAGGGCTGCTCTCTGGAAGTATTCTGGAAAATTCATAATGTCCAGGCCAATGTATTTATAGTAAATTAAAGCAATGTTTTATTATGATGATTATTCCCTTGGTTATAGTGTTGATACTGAAAATTTAGGAAAAATAAAGCCCTTGTTATCATGCTTGTGAAGGATTTTAAGCTACCAAAAAGTTCAGTCTTGATTCCAGGGCAGTTAATTAAGGTTGACCAAGTCAGGCAGAAGTAAATTAACTTGGCCGATCAATTATTTATATGAAGCAGAATAAATGCCCTTAAAGAACTTGGCCTGTTCATGAAAGGATGTGTAAATTAAACTAAACATACTTTTGTAAAATGTATTTCCACTTCTGTGGGGAGCAGAGAAGAAAAGTTAACTATGAAATCACTTTTGGGAAAATGATGAGAGTGATTACACGGTCCTCCCCCCAACCCAAAGGAAAAATCCTTTCTCATTGTTCATTCATGTGCAAGGAAAGAAGGGAAATGGCATGTAATTTTGAAGAGATAACAGCTCTTGGAAGGAAGGAAGGAAGGAAGGAAGGAAGGAAGGAAGGAAGGAAGGAAGGAAGGAAGGAAGGAAGGAAGGAAGGAAGGAAGGAAGGGAGGGAGGGAAGGAAGAGAGAAGGAGGGGAGAGCAGGGAAGAGAAGGAGGGAGGAAGAGAGGAACTCTAAGAATAGAGCGACTATGTGAATTTCTATATTTTAGAAACATTGAACATGTGGCTGTTACTTCATCATCAGTTATACTCCGTGCAGAATTTATAGACTGGACAAGAATGAGGGTGGGAGTCTGGCAAGCTCTAGTTCTAAAATAAGCACTCTTTGAATTACTCATGTTGCATCATGAAGATTCAAAATCCTTAATGATCATGTTCATGCTGGTCAGAAAATAAAAACTTGTTAGTATT